CGACAGTGCACATTTTATTTTTGTCTGTCTCATATTCTACGTTGACTCCAAGCAGCCTTGGTGTAAAAGCAGATTTCTTTTTATCACTCGCTTTTGGTTGTGAGAAAGAGAACCCCATGGCCCTGCCCTCTCTATTGGCTTCCTCTTAGCACAACAGTCATTTGCATCTGGGCAAACGGGATCTATAAAAAGCTGCTGAATTAAATCAGCAAAGTGTTTCATCATACTTATTTTGCAATCACTGTGATAGACTCTTCGCTGGTCTAAATAGCTGCAGTCTTATTGATTCAAGTGGAGTTTTCCCTCTTTGCATGAAAGGGGAATTGGCTCAACCTGGACAGGGGGCCAGAAGTCATTACAGATGACGGACAGCCGAGGATCAGTCCCTGTGATTTCAGGTCTGATCGCAGTTGTTTGCAATTCTCCTGCACACTCATGGAAGACACTTTATGTGTTAAAACTTGCTGCAAGCCTTTGATATCTTTGACCTTTTTTAGAAAGTCTTTTAAATTTTGATATTCCCTAAGAAGACAGGTGGTATTTTTTGATTGAACAGATAGAGATTTCATGTCTAAACACATTTCTTGGTTTCACTTTGTTGGACTAGTTAACCGCTCTCTGTATGTTCTATACTGCTCACAATCTTTTCTTGTAATTTGTTTTTGAATGATACTATCAAAAAGTTACAAAGAATTAAACGTGCAGAAATCCCCCTGGAAAACATTAGTAATGTCCTGCTAGCATGTCCCTTTGGATCCAAATGTGGATATTCAGGTACATACAGTCCCACCTGCAACTACACTTCCAAGCCAAAAATTGCCCTTGATACCTTCTGATTGGAACAAATGTTTGACTACAAGTGCCATGAGTAACCAGATACAGATCCTCTGGAAGTAGGTAGGGAAGCTGTGAAAAAATTGCAAAGCCTGTCAAAAGCTTTAGTTCAGGAGAGGGTGAGAAAGAGCCCTCCAAGTACTGATGCCGAACCCGGGATGCGCTGGGTGCAGTGCATCTCTCATGGTTGCAGTCTCGTGGAACAAGAGCTGAAATAGCAGAACTCGTGCCCTATTTTCTTCTTCCATCACCTGAATAAGTCATCTGGAAACAGGGCAAATGATACATTTTCAACAAAATAAGGAAATCCCTCTGAGCAGTTCTAGTTTGCAGCACAATCATAAAAATCCTGGCAAAAAATCAAACCCTTTCCCTATCAATTCAGCGCACAGCATTGCTAGCACGGTCAGTGTCAACGGTTAAATAGCTGGTGCAGGGGCAGAAGACAGAGGCTGCTCTGTTCTTGGTGCTGCAGCTCAGACAGAAGATGAAATCATGGTAGTTCAGCATTGGGTGAAGACTTTACTACTGATTTTCTGACTTTCTGTTTGCACTGCAATAAAACCTGCTTGTGCTTGAAAAAAATTGTGGCTGTTAGGAATCTGTATGTGTTTGTCTGGCCCTAATTAACAAAACCTTCAAACCCAAGAAATACAACTACCTACTTTTGCAGAGCTGTAGAAGAATGCAGCTACAGTCTTTGCTTGGTGGTGAGATGGTTGTAGCACTGTGTTTTAAGGGTTTTTTTTTACTGTGATGGTCAGAGGATGATTTTGAATGACTTAAAACCAGGTGCATGGTACAGGAAAAAACAACAGGCCATATTTTTGGCCCTGGCCATATGATTTATACCTTTAGTGAGTGGCACTTCTTAACTCATTTGGTATTTAAAGATCTGCTTGTTTTCTCTGCATAGTACAGACCCAGGACACATGGCTGGAACTGCATATGGAGCATAGGACATTTATTGGGGAGGTGGAAAATATGTCTGCTTATTGTAGTTTCAGATTTTGGCTTAGGTCAGGAACAAATCTTTCAAATTTTCAAAGTATTTTGGCACGTTGATCCTTGGGACATTTTTGTGTTTATTTCAGACACTGCAAATAAAGACAGTAAGAAAATTTTCAAAACAGATTCTACACTTAAGTCTGAATTAAATCAAAAGCCAGATTTCATACAGGGATCTTAAGCATTTGGTACTTTAGGAGATGATAATTTCCGGAAGGGTGTTTTTCTTTGGTGGTATTCTGAATGTCCCAGTTTTTGGCTGCCAGACTTGTAGGTTGAGAAACTTTGAGGCTGCCTGCTGATCCGTATCATCTGAGATCTGAGTCTATTTAATGAATCTCAAATTGAGCATCCAAAAGCAGAAGCAGTCAGACTCATTAATCACTGTGAGAGATCTTGGCCTAACCATATCAATTAAGAACAATAGTTCCCCAGTAGAAAAGAAACATGAACACGTGTTTCCAGTGACAGTCATGATATTATTGGTCACTTGCATTTATTTATCAAAGATAGGTCCTTGTTTCACTTTGGAAATGTAAATCAACATCACCGTGACTTTGGGTACCTTGTGTGTCTGTGTGTTTATATGTGTTTTAGGCTAATGCTTGATAACGTATCCTTCAAAGGTCTCTTTAAAAATCCAAGTCTTGGCCTAATAAGATGGAAACTTCGCTGAAATGCATCATAAATGTGGTGCTAGAATATTTACACTAATATTCTAGGCAGCAGAATATTAGTGTAAAACTACTGGTGCTGCTAATAAAGTTTGGGTTCATTTTACCATCAGCTGAAAGTTTGTGAGTTTTAAAGAGGTTTTTTAATAAAACTAAAAGGTGTTGTAGAAATGAGATGTGGAACGTTTTGGAGAAGGGTGCAGTGCTATTTATAATTTATTGGGCACTGTTTGTACAGTCAGTTGTTAAGTTATAAATAAAAAAAGTTATAAAAAAGCCTTAAAACCAAGATGAAAGGCTGAAACTGAGTAGTTATTTCCTCTGTATGTCTATTAAAAAAAAAAGTTTCCAAGTTTGTTCAAACAGTCACATTTTGGTTTGGTTATCGATATTCACAGTGTTGTGTCTATTTTTGGATTTATCACATTGAAGACTTTCACCTTTGCCACGCGGAGTGCCTTTTCCTCTGGTAAATCTACCACAGGCTGCAGGACAGTTTCTAAAGCTCTGTGAGGTGCCCAGGCACAGCCAAGGGGAAACAACAGGGAGGCAAATGGGCCTCTGTCATACCAAATTTCCAAGTCCTAGAGCTGCTGAAGAACAGTTAGACTGGCCTTATTGACATAAGGTCCCTCGATCACTTTCCATTTTGATTCGTTCCAGTTTGGCACCTACCATGGCGGTACTTTCCCCCATCCCATCTGAACCTCAGATTCCATTTCTCTTAGGCTGAGGGCACCGAGGGTTGGCACAGGGACCAGCTCCGCAGCCTGCACCAGATGCTTGTTTTCTGCCAACAGAGAAGTCCCTCGAACTGGAGAAATGCTGAACCCAATTAAGATCATTAAAAATGAGCTTAGTGGATTTAAGAATACAGTCCATCTACTTTTCAGAATAATTTATTATAGATCTTTGTATTGGTGCTCAGAATGAGGTGCGAAAGAGGTTTCTCCTTAGAGCCTCTGAGCAGGCTTTTTACCTGATGTGAGGTATTTCCTGATGTGAGTAGGAATAGCACAGGGCAGGCCTGATGAAACAACAGGGGTAAAATACATCATTTTATTATAGGGCCCCGGCTAAGCATCCCTTGTAGGTCCTGCAGAGCAGCCGGAAGTGCCTGCTTTGAAATCTCCCAGTTCTCCTACAAGTGGTGCTGACGCAGAGCTGCGATACTGAGCAAAAATATTCTGGCTGCTGAAGAGGAAAGACATGACCAATTTGAACTTAGGAGTGAAACATTTCCTAGAACTGAGCCTGAATAAATTCGGGAACAGTTGAACAGGAAATAAGCTAATAATGGGATTTTACAATATGCATTTCCCATATAAGGCATTGAAGTGTAGCACGGGTTTGTTCGCTGATCTTCTGGTTATTTTGATGAAAATTTTAGGTTTCTTCACTGTGTGCGCGCTGTTACGATTGTGAGGACTTTGCTCCATTATGGGCTGAAGTGTTCCATCCTGCCGCTGTGGTCGGTGGTCCCTGGATGGACCATTCCTAGAGCAGACCAGAGAAGAGACTAGTTAACAATTCCTCTTTGCTGCCTTTTGTTTGTGTCGGGGAGCTATTTCCTTTAGCCCTTGAGACTGATGCGTAGGAAGGGGAAGAGAGGTGGGGAGCGCCCGTCTCGGTGTGGTTCATGCTTCTGAAAATAAGTTCCCCAAAATCTGATGTGGGGAAAGGAAGCCCTGGCTCCAGGGAGCCTGCTGTCTCCCTCAATAAACAAAGGACTGGATTTAGGCAAGTTGCCCAAAGTGTTGGTGCAGGGTGCATTCCCGTCCTTACTGCTCTGCCTGGCCTTTTAAGGATATGTGACAGTATGCTGGAGACCACAGTAAGGTGTGTAATTCAGCGATGATTAATGAGCACAAGGCTCTTCTGCAGCTTCGGTGTTTCTGTAGCATTGGTCAAATTCCCTTCTTACGAGTAACTCACCAAGATTTTCAGAGTTTGGCCTCTTCTGCACTGCGAGTGCAGTCTCTTGCCAGCTCTTATGCTACATTAATTTAGAGCCACCTACCTTTCCAAACGTGCTCTGTATTGTGGAACAGGTTTTGCTTGTAAATGCAAGGCCAGATGTTCAGAAGAGGAGAGCTCCTGTTTAGGCATCTAGCAATTACTGCTGTGACACATACCGATTGCAGCTGAAAATCTGAAATCTCTCTGCTTAGACAATAAAACACTCAAGCTGGCTAGTTTGTGCAGTGCTATAAGAAGTGGCCTATATGCATATAATTCAGAAGTTCTTTCAAAATAGCATGCACTGAATCACGGTCTCACTTAGTTTTAAACCGCAGCTTGTGCCAAACTAGTTATTTTGATTTCTTGCCAAGCAGGGGCTCACTTTCCAATTACAACTAACATTTTCCTTTTCTTTTTCTGCAAAATCTGTTAATGAAGGCTAAATGAAACAATGAAGGTAGGTCTACTGGCTAGATAAGAAATAGGTCTGATTCATTAATAAATGTTTCTTTTCTTTTCTAGTGACATATTCGATGCCATGTTCCCTGTCACACACATTGCAGGAGAAACAGTCATACAACAGGGTAATTTTTCCCTTCGTTTTTTCCCTTGTATGTTTGCTAAGATTGTACAATTCACCTCTCTCCATTTGGCATTCCACCCTCTTTGCTTAATGAGAAGAATAACCGTATTCCAAAAGCTTCTAAGTGTGTGGCTATATCGTAAGTTCATGGATGCAGGTCTTTTGCTACGTGTGCAGAGATCTCCTACAAAACCATGCTGGTAGATATCCAGGGTTCCAAAGTGCTACAGTTAAATGTAGATAAATAGCATTTAAAATTCAAATGTTAATTCCTTACCATAGTCAGGAAGTAAAGCACAGCTCAGAATGCATAAGGGTGGCACAGGCTAGCTGAGAGTAATTAGAGATGGAAAATATTTTTATGGTTGTTGGGAATATTCAACACCTCATTGTGCTGTATCGCAGTTATCACACTTGGCAACTTACCTGCGTGCCTGCAGCGTGTTGTGGAGGACTTCATTACCCTCAGGCTATATTAAAGCTCTTGTGTGTTTACACTGAATGAAGTGTTGAATCAATCAAAAGAGATAAATTAATGCAATTGAAAGATATTAATAGGAAGAAATCGTAGCGCTGTTTTGATTTATGAAGGCAAATAGGCAAGGATGTTTCAGAAAATGAACCTCTCTGTATGTAAGTAATCTGGTGTACAAACCTGTGCAAATATGTAGAGGATTGAATATGGAGACAGGAAATTATTGAATAGTTTAGCAGACCTTCAGGAAACAATCACCATTTGTGTTTTGCTTCCAGGTGATGAAGGAGACAACTTCTATGTGATTGACCAAGGCGAGGTGGATGTAAGTACACTCTTACAGCATAATATTTATTTTAAAGCTACATAATAAAATTGTATGCTCTGGCACATAGCTCTATCCAGCCATGTGCTGTGGTTCTGTCTCCTTTCTTCTTGAAATAGATTTTACAGGATTGGTCTCATTACTTTGCTTTTGTTGTGTTAAGTCATTTGTGCATAATTTTATAATTGGCATGTTTTACATCCTAGCTTATTTGTCCATTCCAAGCAGGAAAATACGGTATCAAAACCAAGCAAGTGACATTATCTTTAGAACCCTAACCGCACCTGGAGGTGTGCAGTCTTTGGCAGAGCAGGCCACCATGCTGGAATGCACCCGAGGGTTCAGATCAACCATAAGGAAAATATTTTCTTTAATCAGTTAGCTTAGCTCATGTGTTGGTTTTTTTTTTTCTCCCCAAATTGAGATACAGCCTGAGGCAGCGAGTTTCATCTTAGAAACCTTAATTTGCTTTTAAAATTAGGTTGAAATATATGAACAATGCAGCATATTAATAAAGCAAGGATTATTATAAGTGTAAAGTGATCTGTTAGACCACAAAATGTTTACAGGAGTATGTGGTGGTTTAATCAGCAAGTCTTTGAAAAGCAGCTTCTTTCTGAACCTGCGTTCCAAATTGTGATCTATTCACCTCTTATCATTTTTATCCCATATGCAACTCACCCTTTTGCAGTTTTGCTACAAGTTCCTCATTTGACTGAATTTTCTACGCACACCTTACATATCCACAGTTGTCAGATAGGACAGGCTTGATCATTAGCAACGTTGCTCTTCAGATGCCCAGATGAGTTTTGTTTGGCATATTTAAGGAAGGAAGTGATTTATTTTAAATCCAGGCAGGAGGCATACAGTTATTTTAGTGAAAGTTTTTTTTTTTTTTTAGCAGTCTGTTTGTGTCAGGAGACCATCTAATTGGTATTGTTGGGAACTGAGAAACCTCACATGCTGCCTCTGCCTCTGGAAGTTGCTCCTCAGGAAATCCGTCTGACTCACTGTTCCTATCAGGCATACCTCTCAATAGCAAACATTGCCACATCCACAGGGCCAGAAAATAAAAGAGCAGTATTTATAGAACAGTGCTAAAATTTAGTTTTAAAATAATTGGTTTAGGCTTGATACTGAGCTTAATGAGTTCACTGGCTTTGAATCAGACCCACAAACATACGCAAATGCACATATTGAAGTTATAGATTAATCCTCTTTAAAAATAATTTGTCCTCGCTCAAAACCTTTAGGAAAGCTTTCTTCAGCATTTGGCTCAGGGGTAGTGGGGGACAGAATGACATGAGAAAACAGTCTGCAAAGCCTTGCAAGTAATTGCAAAGAAGATAATCTTCCATATGCACATATTGCTCTTACAAAGCGGTGACAAAATGGGGAAAATAAATGTCCAGGGCCTAGCCAGCTTTGTGTCTGCTTGTGGATTTTCTGTAACTGGTGGTTGCCACTAATGGCCAAGGTGGCCATGGCTCTGCAAATGCTGAGAAGGATTTGTTTAGAGCACCAGTTGCTGTACTCTCTGTCAGGTAAGATGGCATCTTAGTTCCCTTCCCAGGTATATCCTGGCATCTACTCAGAAACACCTTTACTGCATCATGTTATTTGTATATCAGAGGTCCTTCTTTTTTTTTTATGGAAAGTTGAAATTCTTACATCTTGACCACAAATAGCCCAAGAAGAGACAAGCGTCCAGATCATTTTTCATTGGTGGTTTCTTGAGTTCATTAAAGTCTTATGCAGAATAATCTTATATTTCCCAGAACATTTCAAGGGCCTTTGAGGTTTCTGGGATAGGATTTGGGGTAAAATCTGAAAAACTACCACAGTGACAAAATGGCCTCAGTGCCACTGCAATGCAATTACATGTAGGCTTTTAAGTATAGGTGCTTTTGAAAATTCTATCCCAGACCCCTGATTTGACAAGCTACATAAGCACCGGTGGGCCTTTAATCACATGAACAGTTCTGTTGATTTCAGTGGGACTCACTGTTTTGCTAAACAAAGAGCATAGTGCACAGCTTTGTTTTATGCTGTTAAAGTTGAAGGCAGAAGTTTTCTTTGTATTCCGAGTAGTTTGCAGTCCTCCAGTCAGTTATGTATGGTATAGAATGTATATTTTTCCTGCCTTCTCTTTGAGACTTTTAACAACAGATTTTCTAAGGAATGAATGAAATAAGTGGGTTTCTTTGAGTAGATTGCAACTTCGCTTTCACGAGCATTCTCAATCCCTACTCCCCTAATTGCCAAAATCAGCCTATAGGTTCTAGGACAGATCAAAATGGCCAGATCCATAATCATAGAATCATAGAATGCTTTGGGTTGGAAGGGACCTTTAGAGCTCATCCAGCCCAACCCCCCTGCAGTGACAGGGACAGCTTTAACCAGACCAGGGTGCTCACAGCCCCGTCCAACCTGGCCTGGGATGTTTCTGGGGATGGGGCCTCCACTGCCTCTCTGGGCAACCCCTTCCAGTGCTTCACCACCCTCACTGTAAAAAACTTCTTTCTAATGTCTAGTCTAAATCTACTCTTCTTTAGTTCAAAATCCGTTATTCCTTGTCCTGTCACAACAGGCCTTATTAAAAAGATTGTCCCCATCTTTCCTGTAGGCCCCCTTTAAGTATTGGAAGGTCGCACTAAGGTCTCCCCGCAGCCTTCTCTTCTCCAGGCTGAACAACCCCAACTCTCTCAGCCTGGCCTCGTAGGAAAGGTGCTCCAGCCCTAGGATCATTTTGGTGGCCCTCTTCTGGACCCGCTCCAGCAGGTCCATGTCCTTCCTGTGCTGAGGGCCCCAGAGCTGGACGCAGTACTCCAAATGAGGTCTTACCAGAGCAGAGTAGAGGGGCATCCTGACACTTCTCAGACACATGTATAGACAGTTTTCTGACATGACCTGTGGGACAAATACATCCAAACAAGACTTAAGAGATGTCATTTGCACTGAGCTTATTCCAGGGACAACCAAAGCTCCTGACCCTCTAAGTCTTGCAAAACTCTTCTGTGACCAGCTCTCATGCTGTCCCCCTTCAGCATCCCCCTTCCTTCACCCTGCTGCACCTTACCGCTCCCGTCCCCATCTCCTTACCGGGGTGCTTTTTCCTTCCTAAGCCTTTCCTGTATCTTCAGCCAAAACACACACTGAATTCCTTTGCAAGATACTGTGAAAGGCAGAAGAAACATTCGGTGATCCAGGAGCAAGTTGGAACTACACCCTGGGAGCTGCAGAAGTCACCTACGGTGACTGCCTTTGCTGGGAAGCTGCAGGGAGGGGAGCCCATTTCCCCCCCGAGAGTAAAGCCTGTACCAGGGCGGTTAGTGCAGAGTAACTTGCTCCTGCATGAGGCAGCAGCTCCCAGACCCCATGGGTGTGCACTGTCACACCGTATATAGTGCTCTCCAGAAAAGAGTTCTTCCACTTTCTGGGCAGCAGTGCTAAAATCCGTATTGCCTGAAGAAAATCCAGACCGCTAGTAAGCGAGCTGCAGTTCATTTAAGCCTTGCCAGATAGTTTTTTGGCATGCTTCCACCCTTCTCCAAGAAAAAAAGCAACTTGGAGAGTAGACAATTGACCCCGAGACTTAAAGCCTCAAACCATTTTCTGCCTAGTTCAGCTGGTGTTGGCATATGCATGGAGGCTTTTAACCCCTGGCCAGGCTATCTGCTTTCATCATTTCCGTGATCTCCACAGAAGTGGCAGGCATACCAGGACTCTTGGATTCGAGGAGCAATTTACTCTCAGAACATCATGACTGATAAGCACCCAGGTTTTCCATACACATGGAAAGATATATGGAGTGGAGGTCACAATTGCCATCATAAAATTGCCATCCCCTGGAAGAAAGTCAGGGTAAAACTGAAAAAAACCCCAAAAAATCTATCAACCATGCAACCAAAACTAAACAAAACCAACTAAGAAAGCCAAAATAACAAAAACAGTGTGTGATGTTTTGAATTTAAGAAAACCCCAACATTTAAAAGTAATTTACTGTTAGAGTTTTGGCATAGGCACTGCAGAGACTAAGTAAGAACATTCTAATATTTTGCCTTAGAATTAATCTGAGTCAAATTAGAAGTAAAATAAAATATTTTTAAAAATAATAACACTTTATCCTCAACTCTTACACTTTCTTAGGGTATAAACAAGCCCTTTTAGCATATCCATAAAGTATCTGTACGTTTCCTTCCTGCTATTGCTATGGACACCAAAGAAAATGCAGTGCCCTTCAGCTGGCAATCACACTCAACATGGACTGTGGGCCAAGGGATAAGGGCACAAATTTTCATATGTAAAAGAAAAGTTTTCGAAATCAGAAAGAGGTAGGTCTTGGAGAACCTGTTTTTTTCCTGTCGTACACTGGGTGCTACAAACCAGGTGTACTTTGACCAAAGCAGGCATTGGATGAGAAAGGACAGTATAGTGTTATCAGTCACAGTCTTCCTCCTTCACTGTTCAGAGTTGAGGAGAATTATTAACTCATGACCCAGCCCTGCAGATGGATAAAGTTTACGCTAGGTAGATGATGGCATGAGGTTTGAATTCTTAGAGGTCAGTTGTCTACCGGAAACTTTTCTGCTCAGAAAAGGTAAATGTATGCCAGAAAGTAGCTGGCAGAGCTTAAATTACAGTTTCCAGTAAAGATGTTGAAAGTACCTGCTAAAGTATGCGTCTTGCAATAATCTGTAATCCATATTTCTAAATATAAAAACGACTTCCTGTTTATTATTTTAATCTTATAACCTCACATTTTTTTTACTTTAAAAAGCACCGTTAACTACCCTTTTAAAACAGATGTATTTTCTTTAGACCCAGCAACTTCCTATTCTATTTAATGTCACAGCAACTTTCTCTACAGTCATTCTCAGGCTTTCTTCTTGTAAAACAACAGCAGACAAACTATACTATGGTGAAAATCAAAGTGAAAACTTTTCAATACTTTTTCTTAAATAGGTTCTGTATTTACTGTATAAATCTATATGTGCAGCTATGCATGAATTTGTGGACAATAGATAAGATTGTCTTTTGATTGTGGGTCAAATCTCCTTGAAGCCCTTATTTGTATATTCAAACTGTCTCATTTGTATGTACAAAGATGAAACTTACATGGTTGTTTATGTGAGAATACTGTTGCATTTTAAAACTAGTTATATTTTATGGTTAGATTCCATAGATTGCTTTTTGTTGTAATTCTCCCATCATTAATGTTCTTTATGAAATTCAGAAAGATGCTTTTTGAAAATTGAAACAGAACATTTTAAAGTTTAGAGTTTTTCAGCTTGAATTTTTAAGGATTCTCAAGGCAGTCTCCAATTTTGTGTATTTATATTTATATTTAAGAAAAGCACATTCATACTACAAATAAAGCACAGGCTTTATTTGAGAAAACTACCCACATATAAATACCCTTCATGTCTAAGACTTGCTTATTTTTCCAAGAATAAATAAGCCTCATCTTCATTTTTGGATAACAAATACTAAGGCTTGACGAGGCACAAAGCACAAATTATTACAAACAGATCCGAGGGAGGGGGTTTAAGATCTAAAACTTGCAATGCCTGGAACAAATTAGATTGTCCACATAGATCACAAAGTGGCAGCAAAAACAATGTGGAAAGTTAACTGGAAATCAGCAATACAAAATTAAAGTAAAAGTAAATTCACTCCCATGAAGCTCGGAGATGGATGTTTGTATCCTGCCTTCCAAGTAAAATGTCTGTATTACTGCTCATGGTAAGGTTACTTTCTGCTTCTCTAGACAACACAAAGATGAGTGAGGCCAAGATGCATTCCTATTGCATTGAGCATTATGTGACTCACTGCATTTTCTCTTGCAGTTAGCATGTATGTATATCGCAGCCCATGAAGAAAGGAACCGCTGATGTTCACAGGAGATTTTTCCCATTTGCCTCCTAAGAAAAAAATGAATTGAACCAAGTTGTGTGGTTTTCAAGCCCACAAAAATTGCAGTACTCATACTACATGATGGAAACCAATAATAATCTGAAGTACTTTTTATCTCTGGAAAGTAGGTGGTCCTGATGGCTTGATTATATTTGGTCATCTGCAGTTCTACATTCCTCTTCAGCTGCGTGAAAGAAGAAAGTTCCAGCTATTATGGAGCTGTGATCAGCAGGTCAAGTAACAATTAGGAACAATTCACTTACGTACTCGCCATTTTGGTGAGAGTTCACAAATGCCTAAAACTGCCTGAGCCAAAACCTCAGCCCAGCATTTTTTAGGATAAAGAAGGAGATCATCTGAGCTGCTGCCATATAAGATTGGCTTTCATAAGCTGTTCTGCGCCTAAAATAGCTTTACTTCCCACACCTTACAAACAGAGCTACTTTCCTTTCTACTTCTTTTTTTAAAATCTATTTTAAAGGGATTCATAGTGGAGCTGAACTCTCTGTTAAAGGGCAGAATGGCTTTGTAACGTGCCATCAATGCACTTTAACTTCATCATGAAGACAAAAGTTGATTGTTGACTTAGGCCTTTGCAGAGAATGAAGTACAATGGTTTTCCTCCTAGAAAACAACAGTTATTCTCAAGCTGTTTTCTCTTTTGGAGATTGATATTAGAAATGGCATTTTTATTGGGGGAGTGAATGCTGGGCTCGAAGACTGTCAGATCAGTGATTTGGTTTCACCTCAGAGTACTTTAAACCTGACACCCTTAGGGTGGAGGAATGGCCATCTGCAGGCACTGTTTACAGGCAAGATGTCAAATACGTTTTGGGGTGTCTTGTCAAGTAAGACAGCAAAATTAAAGAAATCTTAGAACAGTTTAATAGTAGCCTGTCTTTATAGCAACTGTGCAACAGTAAACGTCCATCCTTCTCTTGTTCTACCTTGAGTTTTACCAGTGTAATTCCCCTTTCTGGGCTGCATTTGTATCACGCATACTGCTTTAACAAGAAATGTCACCATACTGCTTAAAATAATGCATGCTGGAATGAGTTTATTTCCCGTTTATACTTCAGACCCTGGTTTATGTTCCTTAATGAAATTGCCATTGCGTTAACAAATCATTTTGCCACACCACCTCTTCTGCAAGAACAAAACCTGTGCTTTTCAACAAAATAGCATATAGAAACACGTGTATTTTTGGTGTGCTGAAAGAGTCAAGGATGCAATGTCAGTTGACATTCAGGATGTGGTCCAAAACTTATTGAAATTACTAGATTTTCCCCATCATTGCAGAGATTTTACTGAGAACATGAATTACTCTACTTTAGCAAACCCTGGGTCCATCTGCTGAAATCCCTACAGAAAGGAGGTATCCCTACATTCAGATACACATCTGGACAATTTTGCAATGGATTAATTGAGTTTAAAAAATTTCATGAATTCTCATTATGTTAAAAGCCTTTCAGAATACTAATTTTATTCATCCATTTATCCTGCTTTTCTCACAAAAAAGATCCAGGAGCCACAGTATTACCTGCTTGTTTCATCAGGAAAGTGCTTGGGTGTGCCTAGCTTTTTTAAAACTTTTTTTGCTTTCATCTTTTTTCATTATGAGGAGAATCAAAAGTAGATTCAATGTTCTGTGAGATTTTCTTTCTGCAGTGAGTTTAAAAGTCTGAAAGGAAAAGCTGTTGTTACTCTCTTGTGTGATATTCTCCTACATGACATTCATTCTGTCGTGATGAAGAAGTGAAGCTACAAGCAGCTTTTGTGGCTTGAGCTCTTTCTTGGCAGTCTGCTACCACCTGCCTGTTTGGGATTATTTTTACCCTTTATTTCAGCCCCTTGATCCTCAGATGCTCCAGGAACACCAAGAGCCCCAACATTGCCCAGAGTTGAGCAGTGATGCTAATACTGCTCCTTTTCAGCTCATACCCAAGAGGTCTCTTGATCAGCTGAACTGCTCTGTGGCCTCATCCATCTCCTACTGAACCAGCATTTCACTGGCCTCAGTGGGAGCTGGATCAGATCTTGATTGAATATTGGGAAGATAAATTGGGATTGATTCCAGCAGTAGTTTGTAATATGCCTTTTCATCGTAAAATGAAGATGGAAGTAAAATTAATACTGACAGTTTGTTGAATTTTGACCCCAATTCATTTATTTTGGTCACCGTCTTTTCTCATGCCCAGCTTGAACACAGCTCTAATTCATACTTTTTTAAAAACTGCTAGTCTCTTGCTCACTAATAGGTAGTAGGTTATGGTCTTTTCCTTTGCCATAGTTTCCTACTTAAGATGAGAATACCTGCATATTTTCTTCTTAGTATTTTTCTTCACAGAGCTTCCAAACAAATGAAGTTCATTCTTGTTGATTTCTGGTGTTATTGGTCTGTAACAGATTGGGATATATTCTGCACTGGGTAAATGCACACAGCCTTTCCTAGCCTCTAAACTCACAGACATATTAACAGAATGAAAAGCATTTATTGTGTAGGTTTATAGCAGCAAGCCTACAAGCAAGCTGCAGAATACACAATCCATACCAGTCTTTGAATACGCTATTATGCCTCATGAGCTGTATTGTCCATGAATAGCAAGGAGAATGCAGCCCAGTGGAAAGCACCTGCATGAGTTCCCCTTTCTCCAGTGAAGGTTTTACATAGCACTCAAGTGTAGGAATTCTCCTCAGATTAGATGTCATCCAGGAAAAATGCTGTGGTAGTGGTATCGATCCATACTGTGTTTGGACAGGATATGTTACCTAAAACCGATGTGGGTCAAACATTGCTTCTATAGAGCTGATGTTAAATGCGAAGGATAATTCTGCGTATAGCTTCTCAAGTCCAAAGCACTTAGTAGTTTTCTCTAAGGGAGAAACAGATCTCAATAGTTATATTTAAATGGTTGTTGGAGGCACAAGGCTGAGGGAAGAAAAAAATGTTCCTTTTCAAAAGATGTTTCCCTGTTTTGACTGTTTTTCATTTCATGGCCATGGTGCTTTTCAGCAAACCTCATTACACATATCAACAAATCTCCTTCCTTTCAAGTTTGACAGTGTTAATAAAAAGCCAAAGTTGTGACAGTTCTGCTTGTTGACTGTCTGAGCCTTGAACACAAGAGGGAAAACACGATGCCAGTTAACCACAGGAGCTGAAAACTCAGAGAGTAAATACAGTCATTGTACTGAAGCAGGACAACTTGAAATTCTGTCCACAAAGTGGGTTGTTGCCCTCTTTAAGGACCGACTGCAGAAACTGTTAGGCTCTTGTTTTCCTTCTATGTCCCCAGCATTGGTGATTAGAAAGGAAGTTACTAATAGCTTTTTAGGTAACTGGCAGTAGGAAGAAAACTGCAGCTAAGTCCCCAAACTGGTTTTGCTTCTTGTTTTGTCTTGTGCTGTGGTAGGTTTATGTCAACGGGGAGTGGGTCACCAGCATCGGAGAAGGAGGCAGCTTTGGGGAACTGGCATTGATCTATGGAACACCCCGGGCTGCCACCGTCAAGGCCAAGACAGATCTCAAGCTCTGGGGCATCGACAGAGACAGCTACAGACGCATTTTAATGGTAAGTTTATGGAGAAGAGCTTGTTTATGGAGTTGATAATTTTACTTTCTCTTGTAGTACCAGCAGTCACATTCTGTGTTCAGAGTAGACTGGATAGAAGGCCGCGCAGTCTGTATTTCTACATAAAAGACAGAGGACATGACAGTAACATTGAGTAACTAAATTAAGTGAACTGAAGGAAGAGGGGACAGGATTCAACAGAAAGATGCTGAGTCAGAAATGCAATTGAATAACATTATTCATAACTATTATACATGAATGAAAACCTCAGGAGGCTTCCATTACCCACCGAAGCTATGCAAATCCTCTCCTTCTCATCGTGAACCTCAAAATGTCTTTCAGCACTACCCCTTGCCTCTGAAGTCTTTGTCTGAATTTGTATTATAGTCTTCAAGGCAGGCAATACAAGGCAAATCCAGCTCTGCAAAAAAAAAAGTCTTGGTTGCACTGTGCCCTCCATCTCTGTTAGCCAGCACACAGCCACACGTATCATAGGATGGCAACTACAGAGTCCCTGCTAATGATCCATTGCTCTGCTCCTTTCAAACTCCCTGATCTCTGCAGCAGAGCTCAACAGACCTTCTGGGCACCTGGGGTGTGTGCTACCTTACGGATTTGCTGTTGTTTCTCGACTGGTGAGTTTAGAATGGAAGCTTTGACAGAGAATTAACTTTAGCAATGTCATAACTTTTTTTTTATGAGTTTGTTTTCGATGTCCATGTATGTATCTTTTCCTTCTCCTTTCTTTTTGATAATTAACAGACAGATAACTCTACATAAAGCTTCTTTCTCAATAGGGCTTGTCTTTAAAAGCTGCATTGTTTCATTCTGATCTGAAGGAAATTACACTATACTCTCAGAATAATGAAGAAGTGTGTATTTTGAGATCATCTGTATTTCCAGTGGATGTCATGGATAACAGAAAAAATTAGCAAAGGAATTGAGTAGATTTCATACTTAAGTGATTATTTCTTAAGCAAAAGAGTGTAAGAGTGATCTATCTTTATACTGTGTGATGACTGTTGATGTCTGTATGAAATGTTGCTGTTTTTCACTCTGTATTTCATGGACTGAGTTCTGTATCAGTTAAATGAACATCACACTGACATCTAGGAGAGTACGTCTGATGGAAATATACTCTATCCCAAAATATGTGGCCTGATCAGTTCAAGACAAAATAGAGAAATAATGACGAGAAGCGTACTGGCTTCTCTCTTGTGGATAAGCAGGATGAATAGTTTTTGAATGCTTCCCGGTGTGGGGAAGCAGACAGTAGTAACTGAGACCTTTCTGCAAGGTACTTCTAAACCACAGAGCAGGAGAATTTCCTAACAGATTTAAGAGGCACACCCAACTTATATGTCCCATGTCCTACATGGAGGCAATGGAGGGCTATCTGGGATAACTGGTGCAATGAACCTGCATGCTGCAAGGAAGAATCCAAGGTATAAAAGAGAAGGAATGTAGGAGGGAAATAAATGTCAGGATAAACCACATATTCCTTGGCTTTTTAAGCATAGCTTTTTACAGCTGCCTGTAACCTTGCTACTAAAGAATTGAAGGCACAGATCCAGAGGCCTCGTAGCCTAGGGGTAATTCAAGTTTTAGTGTTGATAAAAATAGTGGTACCTAACATCATCCAACCCTGTGAGCAGTTCAGGTTTGGTCATGTGTCTATTACCATCTGATAGCCTTCAGAAGATGAATATTTGATGCTGAGACAGGATTTTACTAAAACGGTTTAAAGTCCCAAGTGGAAAAGACTGTGTTTTTAATGCTAGCTTTAGCCATACATACAACTTGAATATTATATTATTGATATACTTCTGTTTGATTCTAGTGTGGTGCTAAGTGCTTTTCAAATTAATTTACATATTCTCTGAACTAGTGACTGCTGTACCCTTACCTAGCAAACTCAGTTTCTGCAGTTGATGACACCGTTAGCGTAACATGGAGGTTTTTTCTGTCCCTCTCTCTCTTCTTGTGTTTTTTAGTTGGGGGGCATTAAAAATTGGTGGTCTGTTGCATTACATTAGATACCCAGACAGTGTAATTACAATATTCCCAATACTTAGATAGGAAATATTTCAGGTAGCATGGTGAATTCATTGCTGCAGGTATAGAAAATGTCCAGTTTTAAGTGCTGTCCATGGTGAATGCAATTTAGCCATCCAGACTACATGAATTCTGTTGTCTTTTCATTTATTTGTAGGTGCAGTAGGGATAATTTCTTTGCTGTAGGTGAAATGAGACACCTGTCTTTGTGCATTTGTGTGAAGGCAGGTTACAGTGGCTCTCTGCACATTTCCTCAACCCCAAGAATTAATTGCATCATGTTTCAAGGGCTGCATTTCATACTTGAAGCTAACTCCACCATTACATGACTGGTTTTGCTGTACTCAGTTTCAAGATGCAGTAGTAGCTGCCTTTCAAGTCTCAGAAACATGGTTTCCTGCCATTTAGCCTCTAACCTTATGTTTTTAGAAAGCTGCTGGATATTTTGGATGTAGAAAAGCTTCTCCCTTTAAATAAGAGGTAGTAATGTTTAGGATATCTTTTGAAATATATCATTTAAGATGACTTTAAAACTGAGGGAACTTTTTTTTTTTCTTAAAATTTTGTTTTCTGTTTGCAAATACTTTTGTCCAAGGGATCAATGACCTTTTTCTCCAAAGACATGTTTTTTTCCTGTAGTCAGATAAAGCCCCTCCATAACCTAAGATATTTTTTTCTTTTGTCTGCATTCCTTCCCGGCCATGACCAGCCTCATGTTTTCTCAGTCTAGTGTTGAAATTTTATTCAAGTTGTAAATATTTATTTGCAAATCATGCCTTCAGATTCACACTTGCCAAAAAGATTTTATCCTGTCATGAGACGCTTGACTCTCTACCTTATTTCTCCTTGCCGGCTCTGTTTTGGTTCTTTGCTTTGCATTGAGTAATTTCTAGTTTTTATTTCTGCTTAGTGCCATTTTCCCCACTTATGTGTCTCATTGATCCTGACTGGTTTATGGTATGAATAAAATGCATCTCAGGAGGTTTGGGAGTTTGGGTTTTCCTTTTTTTGGATGGACAAAGCCTGATGCAACAATTTCCTGCT